TGTTCCCATAATTCTGGGAAAATTTCCTATAATTATGGGAACAGTTCCCTTAATTTATGGGAACAGTTCCTATAATTGCCTGGGAACTGTTCCCATAATTATTTAAAACTCGCAAAAAACGGGCTACGATTTAGTACTGGTTAAAATTTAGGCGCGCGCGTAGCGCATTATTCAAATTTCTAGTACATTATATTTTCAATGAAAAGTCATAAAAACTAAATAAAATTGTGTTTATAACTCTCTATGATTCTCGAAAATTGATTAATGCATTATTCTTAATTGAAAATATTACTTGACTTTATTTAAATTTTAAGCCAAAAAATCAATGACTAATCCAGTTAACTAATTTACCAAAAAATCCTCTAAATATCAGTGAAATATTTCGGTATAAATGTAGTAGTAGACTAGATTGAGAAGTTAATGAAAAGTTGAATAGCCAAAAGCAGGAAAGCAGCCAGCACGGTGTATTGAATAATGACGTCGATCACGATCGTGGGTGTTAGGACGTCTCGGATTAAATAACAATAGTAAAACGTTGGTATGGAGGTGTGAGCCGGTGAATGGGCACGCAAATGAATGAATAAAGTAGAGAGAAGCTTTTACTTTATCACAGACACTACACACTTTTATGTACGTACATTTATTATCCTTATTTTAATGTTATTGTAGGTAAATACATAACACATAATACATGATACATAATCCAGATGGATAGATGCTCCAGGTTCAGTTATGACTCTGATTATGTTGTGATTTATTTACGATTTAGAGACACCTTGCACCCTCTAACTGCCAATAGATGTATATAAACATTTATTATGAACCAACGTGACACTACGTTTGCTCTCCTAAAATTTATATACCGTTATTATTAATATTTATGACTCTATAAACAGCTGTGATAAGCATATCGCATAAAAAAATTTTACTGATTACTTTTCGCGTTAAAACTCGTCTAGTTTTTTCAAAATAAAGTTGGACGTGGGTAAAGTTTTAATATTTTACTGTAAATTACAACTGCATCGATTTTTCGAAAATTGGGCTTGTAAATAAAAATAATTAAGGACTTTAAATAAACACTGACGTTTACTATCGATTTCCCCAGGCTTTTTTTAAGTAATTCACTAAATGTCACGTAACTTAACTTGACACAATTTTCAAAATTCAGACCGCTCCCGGTTGAAAGAAGCTAATTAAAAATTAATCCACTGAGAATAGAGAGTGAATTTCCATTCCACAAGATAAAGCTCCACACTGAAAAAAAAAAGAACTATACTCTCAACATCTCCAAAATGTATTCTTTCTTTCGAATCGTCTCGTCGATTTTATTTCTTTAAAATGAAATCCTTCACTGAATTTTATACCGAATGCTAACCCCTGAATAAAAATACAACTTTATTCAAATTCTCCCCAATCAATTTCCCTTTATATTTTTTTTACTCATTAAAATTAAAGTAAAGAAATTCATATACGATATAAACTTTAAATAAATTTTTTTCAAAGCTGTGGAAGGTAGAATAAAAATTTATTCGACTTTAATAAGATTTCAAAAGTATTATAAAATACTGTAAACGTTAAAAGAGCTTAAAAAAAAAAAATTCCATCGAAATCGCAGTTTCAAATTATATTGAATAAATTTTAGTCTAACCTTTGCAAAAATTATTCGGTAAGAAATCTTAAAAATTATGAATTTGCTCAACTTTATATCATACACGCTAAATTTTCTAAAAAAAACCTTTAAAAAAAAAACCTCAAAATTGTTATCTGAAACTTCAATTTTTAAACTATCAGTCGATTTTATAAAAATTGAATTGTAATTTATTACATTTCTTCTCATGACGCAACTTTTATTAAATTTTGCTACTT